GTGGCGAGTCCTTGAACAGAACGAGGTGGTATGTGCTTAGTCGGGGACGTAATATGATGCATACATAGGTGGTTTTATGGAGAGGGGGTGTGGCTAGTGCAACGCGCTCAGCACGCCACGTCGCGACAGAGCGCCTCGCCGTCGCTCGTCAGGGCGGCACTGCTTCGGGGCCAGCTAAAGCGTCCAGCTGGGCGCAGTCCGAGCGACGGCGACGACGGCGTCGAGTCGCCGCTCACACAAACAGCCGAATCATCAGCACTGGCTGGAGTCAGAGGGCGCTCAGAGCTGGCGCCAATTTCCGAAATGGGTATCGTTGTGGTCGAGAGCGTCGTCTCCTCGCTGTGTGGCACAACCTCCTTGAAGCTCTGATTGGGCGGCATCACGACCAGCATGTTGATGGAGATAAGCAGCGGATGGACCAGCTTGGGGTCGAGCACCATCAGCGACACCTCCTCGTTCTTCTCCAGGCTCAGCGTGGTGATCTCCGACGATTGGGTGAACACCGCCTGGCGCTTTGCATTGATGGATGTGACCACAGTGCGGATCATAAACTTTCGTATCGTCTGCAGGCTGAGCACGCGCTCGTGCTCGTGCCGATGGTGGCGCCGGATGATGAGGCTACGCGAGTCCATGATGAGTATGAGATCCATTCCATAGTTAAAGCCCGTCCAGCGCCACTTTTGATAGCCGGGCTCCATTAGCAAACGGCCGCAGCGCATGCAATTCTCAAAGAACTCCTCATTGTCCAGCTGCTGTGGACTCCTGTATAAATGGGAATCAATATATTAATCAATATTATTAATTGAATATCCAGTTAAACACTTACGCATCGTCTTGGCCGTGATCGATGCGCAGCAGCGCATCCCAGTGGCTGTGTATGTGCTTGTAGAGCCATTCCTTGGGAATGATATTGTCGTTGAATATGATCTTCAAGTCCATGTAGTGATTGGTCAGGTACTGGGTGCGCAGCTTCTGGAAGACGGGCACATATGGCTGGCCCTCGGGCGTGGCCAGAAACGAACGCTCCTCCATGCGGCTGGCAAAGTACGCCCACTGCACCACATCCACGCTGGGCGTATGCGTCTCAACGCCCGCATTCACCAGCCTCTCCTGGGTACGCAGTGCCTCGGCCCGTTGCACCGGATCATCGGGATCGTAGTTGGGATGCAGCTGCAGGAACATCCAGGTGCGCAGCAGCGTATATAGCGAGAATTCCGTTTGCATCACATACAAATCGTGGCTGGCCGTGAGCAGAGTCATCAACTCAATGGAGATGTGCCGCAACAGATTGGGATGCTTATTGTAAATGCTAAGTAAGTTGATCTGGAACCACTGGAACGTTGACTTCTTGACGCTCAGCACACCGTACTGGCAGGCAGCCTCGTAGTATTGCACCGCAGTCTCTGCATCAATGCTATCCACCATCACCTCGGCGCACTTGTCAATGATGCCGTCCAGGTGGAAGAGTGTGGCTGTTGCCAGCACGGGTATCACATCTTTGGGTTCGATCGCAATTTCATCCGAGTACATTGAGCCAAATACAGCGTCCAGACTATCCACATTGATCCGATCGTCGAGTATTTTAATATTCACAAAATTCTGCTGTGCCTCCTTCCACGAGCCATTGAACATGCTATAAAAGTACGGGCTCTGGCTGAGGTAGACCTTGTGCAGATGCCAGACTTTGTCCAGTGCCATTACGGCCACATCGGAGTTCTTTTGCTCCTTGAACAGCGCCTTGTATATATACTGTGTGGTTGTCAATAGTTTTTTTCTGCAAATCAAAAAGATGTCGTGTTTCAGTAAACAGTTTAGATCCTTCATCCTTTGCCCACTCACTTTTTGGGCGCTTTGGCCTCCTGCTCGGCGCGTTCACGATCCTGCGGCGATGCCGTCGATTCTGTGCTACGCCTTCGCTTGCGTCGTCCACTCAACACATCCACCACATTGCTCTGCATGGACCCGACGATTTGACCCATGTTTCTGAATCTGGCTCCAAACTGGAGTACTCAGGCCTAAAATGTTGGCAAAGATGAGGTATTAGTGAAGCGTTTAGTTTTGATTAACATCTTAGTCTAAATTTAAAGAAATTAAAAAAAAACTAAAACTTAATTATTTTTAATTAAACTAATTTGAAATTTTAATTTCTTAAGGAACCACAAAATTATACTATCGCTCTATCTGTAGAGTCTTTTCTTGTCTAAGCTAACTCCACTACCTAGAGTAAAAAATATAACAATAATAATATAATAATACTGATTAGAATATCGTAAGTATTTCGATAGTATTGACATATATGTATAAATCACGCTCCCATCTTTATTTCCAGTTACATTTAAACATCGATGTTGCTGGGTTACTTAAACAGGTTGCGTGCACCTTTATTGTTTATGTATACAAAGTTGACCCAGTTTTGGGCTCCGCCCACTTCAGATCCCTTTATGAGGTCAAAAATAGTGGGCGACCCTTTGATTAGGTATGAAGTTTCTTCAACTTTTCGAGTGCAGTTCGTGTTTTTAATCTATCTCCTCGACCAGCAGATGATGTCACCCATGTGTAGCCTTCAAAGAGGTGGCCCGTTTATTAATAGAATAACATCTTCTATAGAGTCGAGCTCTTCAAATACACACAAATTCACATGCAAACGCATTTGTTTATGTTTTATTCTCCCTTCTGCTGCTTAGCCTATTAACTTTGTTGTTGCTGGATGTTGTAAGCGTGTCAAGGCCGTTGCCATAATAATGCTTATAGAAAAAAAAAGAGCTTTGATTTTTTTCGCTTTGTTTACAACATGTTTCTATGGGCTTATATACTCCACATCGGAAATTACGCACTCATCCGTCCATATGCCAGTCGAATACTCGCGAGTATTTGTTGTCATACACACACACATACACATACACACTTGCACACATTTAGCTACCACGTTTGTTTTGGTGCGACGCAGTTAAAGCTCTCAAAACCAGTTTGAGCACACTTTTCTTATAAGACCAAAACAAGATGTTCGATTGCAACGCCTGAAAATTACGTCACTAAACACATAGAGCGCAACAGCGTGGAAGCGACTTACCGATGCAAAGCGAGAGCAAAGGTGAATAAAAAACAAGCAAAGAGAGAGAGAGAGAGCGCTAGCGCTGGTGTTATTTTAAACACTGATGATATCAGAGACAGAGCTTACTGCATTCGTTCCATTGAATGGATGATTATATGCAACTCAGCGAAAAATATATACTAAATAAAAACGAATAATAAATACACTCGCAGACTTAAAAAATAAAATAAAAATTAATGTTGCCCGATTAGTTACGGCCAAATAACGTGAGTTATCGTCAAAGAAGCCAACAAGATCGGGCGGACCTGAACCGGATTCGAACTCGCGCCGCTTAGCAGCACTCTTCAAAGCAGAATCAAAACGTTTAGACGGCTGCGCCATCCTCAACAATGAACAGACAGCAGCAAATTGTCTATGAAACTAATTTGTATGTATTTTGGGTAAACAAATAAATATGAGCACATATTTATTTATGTACATACGCTGTATATGGTTTGATAAATAGTTTGGTTTCTTATGCTATACATACAAATATATATTTATGTATATATAGAGTGTAGAGGTTCAGCGAACTTGCCCGATATGCCCAGCTGTTCGGCTCTGGATCGGCCAGACGAACCTGATTACTTTAGATGCGGTTGGGGCTGTGGCGGGCGTGATGTCGTCTACCTAAAATTTACTGTCGTGCGGCACTGATAGCACGATGGTTTATATAGCCATATATATGAGTGTTTATAAATATACATATATATTATATACACATATGTACATATATAGTGTTTAAGACATTTCGAAATAGATGCGAGTAGGAAATTTATCAACGTTCTCATGCCGCGGTCAATCAATGCGATCTCTCCCACTCACTCTCTCTTTCACTGTTCGTACTGCGTTCATGCACACATGTTTTTTATAGCGATGCTGTTATTACCAATGTAACAGTAAATCGCCACTATAAATAGCTAAGAAAAGTAAATTTTGGGAACATGTGGGGGAGAATTGCAGAATACGAAAGCAACGACGCAGTAATATGTTGTTTGTATTGGTGAATGCGTGGTGGTGAGAGCGAGTTTGGTATCTCTCTCTCTCTCGCGCGCACCAAACAAAACAGCAGCGAAAGACGTAAAATGCAACTGAAAACACACACAAAAACAACCACACATGCATACACAACTAACTGGTGAGCTGATAAAAATGCGAAAAGGGAATGCAATAGTGCACTTACTGTAAATGTGGAGTTACAGTTTTGCTTTGTTTTAATTTATGTAACTAGATTATCACTTCACTTTATGCAAATTTAACACCACAATAGTTCATACAGTCTTTAAATCATTTGTTTATGATATAAATATTTTAATATTTATTTCTATTTAACTTTCAGTTTTCTTTTGTTAACACAAGAGCTTTGCGCACTCCTCCGCGCACCAACCGTTCCCTCTCATGAATCTCAAGCGACTCTCAATCATTGGCGATTCGCTAGATGAGAAACAAACAACAATAACAAAACTGTGGTCGAGCTGTTATTATTTACAGTGCTGTTATTGTTAACAGCACAACATTAAACAGCTGCTCGCATTTCTTACAATTCGAAATGCTCAATTTGAATTTTTTTAATTATTTTCAGCAGAGAAAAAGGTTCATCAAACAAGTTGTTCCTTTATTTATTATTGATTGCCGTCCGCTACGACATTAACAAATCGAAACCCTTTTAACAGTGTGCCTATCTTAAAACTGTATATATTATTTGTTTTTCTAAAGGTCTTTATGAAATAAAAAAAAAAAAAAAAATTGGAGCTATTTTAATGATTATTTAAACTTACCCATCGCATTTCAGTTTATTTAAACAGAAATTTGTATTAAATTTTACAACGCTAAGCTGTTAAATTCAAAATCGATGACACTTTCGATTAATGTTCTATCGACACTGGCGTCCATCACTAGTAATTTTGCCATTCACTGTGTTTACATTTGAAAATTAGATTTAAAGAATTGAAAAAAGAAACTAATATTAATATCAACATTATGAAAGTGACTCCAAAGAAACCACGCGCCACAGCTATTGAGGGCACGCTGCGCTCGCGTGAATCCCGCAAAGAAGCTGCAAAGGATGAGTCTGAAGCACCACCTCCGTTGCTGCAAATTGACGACGACATGGAATCCGAACTGCCCATACGAGGACGCCCCTCCAAGAAGCTGCAACTGCAAAAGCAACTACAACGTGCTCAATCCAATGCCAAACAGCAAGCTGAAGTGAAGAGTGAGTCCGCAGCAGAAACCGAAGCTGAAGCGCCAACAACATCTGCTAACGCAACCGGGGCAGGAAGATCCAAAGCCAAACGGTCGCTTTACAAAAAGAGCGGGAACAATGCAGTCCAAAAATCACACAGTGAAAGCTATGTAATGCGTCTCTTCGAACGCAGCCTGGATCTGTCCAAGTACAAAGAGAACACACCGCTCTATCCCATTTGTCGCGCCTGGATGGCCAACCAGCCACGCAATCCCAGCGTGGCGGTCTACAACACAGACGGCACAGTGCCCATAGTTAAGCGTGAGGACGATGCCGAGGAGGTACTCAGCAAGTTGCTGAGCGGCGAATTGAAAGTTTTAAAGCAAATGCCACAGGCGCGCAAAACCGAGATGTCGCCCATCCCACCCCGACTGCCCAACACCCAGGACGAGAAGCTGAAGGGGGCCAGCAAGGAGGAGCTGCTGGCCGAGAATATCGGCCATTGGAAGCGGGTGCGCAGTCACTGGCTGAAGCATGCGCAGAAATATGAACACGAGCGCTACGAAATAATTGACCAGATAATGGATGCTGTGTGCAAGCGTGAATGAAAATGCAATTTTAATATAATTTCACTTGAATAAATCTTTATTTGTAATTGCGTTTGCCTTTTTCAATAATCTGTGTGTGCTTGGTAATTAAGTCTAATTTCATCTTTCATTCATTTCCTTTTCGTTTTGAATATAATTAAAATGCTGTTGGATTGTTCTTGTTTGGTTCTGTTGCCACTGCCGGAGCGCGCGCCAGGTTCTTTTTGTTGTTGTTGAAGATGTGTACGTGTGCATATGTGTGTGTGTGAGTGTATGTATAACAGAGCTTACACATGCACACACACACACACAAGCAGAGAGTCTTCGGCTGTTTGCTGCATTCGAACACTTTATTCGACCTTGAGCAATTCAACGTCGAAAGTCAAGGTAGAATTGGGAGGAATGACACCTGGATGGCCACGGCTGCCATAGGCGTAGTCAGGTGAGCAGATCAGCTTGGCCCGCTGGCCAACGCTCAGCTGAGCAACGCCCTCATCCCAGCCGCGAATAACCTCACCCTTGCCAATGGTGAACTTGAAAGGCTTGTTGCGGTCCCGAGACGAATCGAACTGCAATTTGTAAACAAATCAAATAAAAATGTTCACACATTTCAAACAATTATCACTATTTATATACCTTGGTGCCATCGTCCAATGTGCCAGTGTAATGCACTGAAACTTTCTGGCCGTTCTTTGGGAAGGTGCTACCTGCAATACGAAGGCGTGAGAGGGAGAGAGAAAGAGAGTGAGATACATATATGTATGCATATCGTGTATAAAAATGTGTATGTGTATAGAGAGCGGAAAAATACTTCTCTTTATAAAAATGCCGCAAATGTAAGGTTAATGCCATAATAAGAACTAATATTAAAGAGTCTTATCTTTTTACTTACCATCACCGGGAGAAATTGGAACAACTTGTACGCCCATTTTTACGGTTTTTTTTTTTCTTTATTTCAAATCGGCCTGCTGGAAAAAAGTAGCACGTTTTGCTCGTCGCGTCGAACAGAAAAACCAAAGATGGCACCAAATACGAAAAATGTCGATTAAATTGACACACGCCGACTGCAATGCTTAGAATCCTATCGATAGTTTATATCGATTTTGATATTCATACACACTAACATGAAAAAGGCGCCTGAAATTGTTTTTCAAATTTTTATTTTACTTTATTTTATATTTCTACTTAAAATGAATACCACTTTCCTCAATAACGATTTCTTCATCATTTAGCATTCGCTTGCCATTTTCTAGGCACGTCAATCGTAATTTGTGATCTATACTTATCGCTTTGCTTGGTGCAAAGGAGTTGTTTAAGTAACTGCTGTCCACTGTGTAAATGCAGCAAACGTAAAATCTCTTGCAAATCTTGTTGATTTCCTCCAAAATATTCATGTAGTATTTATATTTACGTGTTCTCACATTTTGTGGCAAATCAAGCCAATAAAATTCACACAATCCATCAATTGCAACAAGACTAATTCTCTCATTATCAAACAAAATATGATTGTCCAAAGCTTTTAGGGCCATCCGAACATTTAGAGATGAAAAGCAATTTATAATTTCCAATGAATTTAAACACTTTTCACAAATCTCCTGCAATTGGACGCCTGTTGCATTTGGATTCGCATTCTTTACAGCGTCCTGCAAAAGTCTTCCAAATACTTGATAGTCAATCTTATGGCTAATATTAATTAATACAACATCACAATTTATAAGACAATTTGCAATTATTTGCATTAGTAGAAAAGTTTTCCCGCTTTTTCTCTTGCCAGATATTTCGACAAGTGATTTGGGTGCGGGTCCGCCTTTCGTAAATATGTTGGTGTTCAATTCGGTAATGCGTGGACGAGTCTCGCCCAACTGACGTAAATAAACGTTGGCCGCCGAAGAAATATCCATTTATATTGTATTTATTAAGATTGTTTACACTTTGCGTTAGCCTTCGCATTAAACAGGGCTGTTATGCAACTATCGTATATAATTCGTGTGCAGTGCTGGAAAATGTGAAAAGTCAACGCCGATAAGAGAATTGAGTAAGAAATAAAAAGTAAATTATAGTTGCAGCTCTGGCAGAAACTATAAAATATATTAAAGACCAAAAAGAAACATTTGAGTGTTAAATAAATCAAAGTGCCTGGCAAAACATGTGTGGACTGGTCGACAACTCCACGTGCCCCGTGTAGCTGTAAAACTCCTTAAATTTCGAATTTCAGCATGCGGGATGCTCCGGAGCCCGAGTCGAGCAGCAGCAATATTATCAACAAGCTGAAAAATGCTAAGCAAGTGGATAGCTCGGACGGAGAGATCGACGCGTGCACCATTTGCGGCACCAGCAAATCTTCGTCCTCCGCTCTGCTAGATCTGCGGGATAACAGCGTAATGCGGCGGCGTCTCAGCCGCGACTGGAAGCTGTCGGTAAGTGGGTCCAGTTAACAGCTGAAGTGAATAACAAATTCAATAATTTTGCAATATTTCAGGCAGATATAATCAAGACTACGCTGCGCGCTATATGCGTGGAGTGCGTCTGCAAGCTGAACATGCACTCGGAGGTAACGCGGACGTTGATGCAGCGCCTGCAGCGCATAGCGGACACAAACACAAGCAAGGCCGAGCGGCGGGAGTGCAGCCTGCCGATAGCGGATGCCGAGGTGTCCACAACTGGAGTGCCACTGCCACAGGAGGAGGATATTGGCACTGTGAGAACGGCTTCGTCTCCATCCACCTCCAGTTCGTCCTGTTTGGTGCTGCAGGCCTACTCGGCGCAGCCACCCGAATCGCCCTCGGCCACCGAATCGGGTGGCCTGCGCAACAACAACAGCGGCAACGCCCTGGACGGCTGGAAGTGGCGCACTCGACTGGTTTGCCAGCACTGTGAGCGCGCCTACTTTCGCAAGGATCACTATACGCTGCACGTACGTCGCTGTTGGCGTCAGCAGACACAGCGTCGACCCAAGTGCAGAGTGCTCAACGAGGCGGGCAAGGACGATGACGCGGAGGAGCATGTGGACGTGACAGATGCTGAGAATGGGGAACCATTGAGGCAGCAGACGCCCAAGCATTCACGCACCTTTCAATGCAAGAACTGCGACAAGGAATTTGCCGGCATCGTGGCACTGCGGCAGCACCAGCGCCTCACGCATCAATGCAGGCACCGCTGCAGCCTGTGCGAGGCGGACTTTGGCACAAAATATGAATGGGAGCTGCATCATACGATATGCAGCGCAAAGCAGGAGGCAAGTTGTGTCATCTCCATGAACATTGTGGAGCATAGAGATTCCTAATACTTCCTTTACCTCCTCAGGCTCTGTTCATGCAAGAATCTGCCACAAAAGCGCGCTCGACCCGTTCACGCTCGCGTGCCTGCTCCGTAGCCTGGTATGATGACTATGATGACGATGATGAGGAGGGCGCTGAAGAGGATCAGCGGGAGAATGACGACGATGCCACCTCGGTGGCGGACACGATGTACACAAGGCGCATGAATTTCACTGGCGATTGGATAGTGAATCACAGTCGCAGCAATAGCAATAGCGCCTTAAATCTCTCCATGCTCTATGATGACTATGTGCTGGAGGAGTCTCAAATAACCACGGATAAGGAGTATGATCTCTATCTGCTGGATCTGCTCAAGACCCAGGTGCAACTGAAGGCGTTCTCGTGCTTTGTGCCCAACTGTTGCTATCAAACGGATACGCTGGTGGATCTCATGAAGCACGACTACATGCAGCACTGGAAGATGAGCTGGTTCTATTGTCAAAAATGTGGCGACGTCTTTACCAGCAAGTGAGCAAAACAATATACATACATACGCCATATAAAATGTATATTATATTCATTGTTTTTGTTACCTTTTAGGGTCTTCCTTGACTACCATTTGCATCGGCAGAACCGCGGCGTCTACATCTGCCACAAGTGTCACGATGAGTTCGAGTTCCAGCATCAATTGGATCGCCATCAGGTGCTGCACAGCAAGGGCATCAATTACTATTGCAACTACTGCCGCCTGGAGTTTTTGAGCGAGGCCAAGCTGTTGGCCCACTGCGAGCATGAGCGGCATAGCCCCAACGACGAGCCACCTCTCATACATATCGAGCACGAGCTGTCCATCAACAATCCGGTGGCCAAGGAGCCTGTCCAGCTGCCGCGCTATACGGTGCGTGTGCTGAACATACCGCACATGCCTTGGATATCCAATCGACCCATGCATTTACCGCACCACAAACCCTTTCGCTTTGCCATCGGCATCTGCGAGTTCGATAATCGCAATCCGCCCAACTGCGTGGGCTGTCTGTAGACCACGCCCATATGGATTTGATTGAGCTGCCTGTACCTAAATCTTTGTATATATGTGTGGAGCAGCTTCGCCTGGGTATCGAGCTGGCTTATATATATACAGATACCCTGTATCTATGTGTGTGTGGGGTCGATTATGTCAAATGTATAGCTCTTTAACTAGTTTCATTTGAATAGCTGGAATAGCACAAGTCTGATCGTGTCTCCTGAATAGAATTACACCCATATATATATAAATATATATATATAGATATTTCTATTTTTATATGCCCATTGTAAATGTTGTCATAAATATATGAGTTGATCATTGTTAAAACGATCTCACATGAATTATATATGCATAAAGGAAAACGCAATCATTATTTATTTATTATTTATATATATATATATATATATATATATATTTGTTTATATATATTTTCAGTCATTTTTATTTTGTTTGCTCTTCATATACCGAAAATGTGTGTTTTTGTTTTTACAATTTAAATTTGATTTTTTGTTTTGTTGTTTACAATTATTTAAGAACTTGTATTCATAATTAACACTAAATTTTTTAATAACGTCAAAATACTTTGAAAATGTTTCTTTTATTATTTTGCTTTTTTATGTACACAGGGATTGTTGTTGCCGTTGTTGTTGTTGTTGTTGTTAAACTTAAGAGTCGCTAGCTTAGCCTAGGAATTGTATAACAAATGAATTAACACTAAATAGAACTATATGCATGTACGGGTGTACGTCTAAGGTATTGCCCCACATATATGCATATTTATTTATGTTTATACTTACATAGAGCCTATTGCATTGCCCCCAGCGCATGTTTGTTTGATTTTTGCATCATTTTGTTTTTGTTTTTTTTTTTTTTTCGTATTTTATCATTAACAACTAAAAATTATTATGAATTACAATTGCATTAAGGTTAATTAATTTAAAATTTTGTACGTTTTTAATTTGTATAAACGATTGTGTGTGTTCGTATGTATGCATGCATGTGTGTGTGTGTGTGTATGTGTGGGTGTGAGTCGGTGTCAGTCTTATAAAATTCAACCCAGGAAACTTCTTTTGGAACTCAAAAAAAAAAAAAACTAAACAAAATCTAAAAAATTATTCAACTAATTTGTAATATGTTTCATGTTGTTGTTGAGCTATTTTCGAGGTAGTTCGTTTAAAAGTTGCAAAATCTATTCATTTTTAGCATACATCACTATATGTATATATATATATATATTAATATATAAGCTAAATAATTTTTAAAACAAATCACTGGCATTTTAAGATAGTTGTACAAAGTATTGCTAACTCGTTTTTTGTTTTTTGTTTAAATTTGTGTTTTTGTTTTTGTTTTTTGCTAAAACTCATCTGGATTCGTTCTCAAATGCGAACGTCTCTATTATTTGCCCTATTTATATATACTTTGAGCCTCTTCTGCTCTGCCACGCCCACTAACTTTCAGTCTTATGCAAGTGTACAGTTTTTTTTGACATAAGCAATGTGTGTGTGTGTGTGTCTGTGTGGGTGCTTCCTAAGTCTAGCCTAAGCCTAATCCATATCTCTAAATATCCCTAGACTATATTTTTATTTGCATAATTCTATTTCTTTTAGGCACAAAGTGATGCTGACAACAATTTAGTTTTTTTTTTATAATTCGTGTTTGATTTTTTCGTTTTCCCATTTTTTTCCTTTTCTTTTGCTCTCATTCTAAGGTTGCATTGGGTGGGTGGGTGAATTGGATTTTTACGTTTTTTTTCTTTTTTTGCTGGGAAATGTTTTTCTTTTTTTTTTTTTTTTTTGTATATACGATGTTTAAAGCTTCACTACCGCTAGATCGACGCCGAGGCGGCGAGTCGATGAAGATTGAGAACACAACAAAAATAAGTTTGAAGTTTAGCACGTTGAACGTCGAAACCCGAAAGAAGAAGAGTCTAAGTGTGCGTGTGTGTGTGTATAGGTGTGCGTGTGTGTGTGGCCTAGTATATGGAATCGTGGCTATCGGCTGCATATTGCCAGGCCATCGTTAGCATCAATCAGTCGGTGCGCGCCTGCGCCTCGTCGCTGCCCAGCAGCTCACGCTTGAGGCCCAGGCCCAGGCCCAGGGGCAGGTTGCTCATCGATGGGGATGTTGGCGAGGCTGCTTCTCTGGACTCCTCCAGGTGCTGCTCCCGTTCACGTTCGCGCTCCTCCTCCATTTCGGCTGCCTCCTTGCCGTTGGTCGAGAGCGACGCCGAATTGGAGTGCATGATGACGCTGGCGCTCTCCATGGGCGAGGCGGCGCGCGCCTGTCCCGGCGAGTAGGGCGATTCGGGTCGCTCTTTGCGCGCCAGTGAGAGATCCTCCACCTGGTCGTGATCGTCCTCGTCGTCAGCGTCGCGCTCCTCCTCAATGGCCTCGCGCTTGATCAGACGCTGCTGCTCCTCGTGCTTCTCCTCCTCGGCGTAGTGGCTGGGCGAGCGCGCCGCATGCCCGTTGGAGCCGGGCGGACTGCTGGACATCCGATTGGCGGCCGCATGGGCGGCGGCGGCCAGTGCCATGGCGTGCAGTGCCTCGCGGCCGGCTATGTCGCCGCCCCGGTTCTCCAGCGCCTGCTGCAGAAAGGCGTGGTCGAGCAGCGCTGCCGCCGAGTGGGGAATTGTGGGCGGCATGCCGTGATGCGAGTGCCCGCCGGACTGCCCGTGCGAATGGCCATGGCCGTGGCCATGCGGCAGCTCCTTCGGCTCGCGCTCCAGCTCCGTCTGGCCATAGTTGTGGGCCGCTGCGGCCGCCGCAGCTGCCGCCGAGTAGGGAAAGGCGGCCGAGGACTCGACGCCGGGCGGACTGCGCTTGGGCGTGCGATGGGTGCCACGGCCCGTGGTGATGTTCAGCTTGCGCACCTTGTCGTAGAGCGTGCGGCTGGGCAGGCCGAACTTGCGGCTCGCCTGGAGGGCGCTCATGCCCTCGCGCACGCACTGGATGGCGCACATCATGTCCGCCCGGGTGTACTGCTTGTAGCGCTTCCATTCGGGCTTCTTGCCCGTCTGGCCGCTGCCGGACTCCTCGTCGAAGCTGCGGTCCGTGTGCGGGGACAGCGGCTCCTTGTCGCCGCCGTAGTCGGAGCCATTGAAGCTGTGGCTGCCAGCGCCGCCCGAGGCACTGGAGCCGTGGTGATGCGTGGGCGTGGTCTTCTCGGCGGACTGCTTCACGCCGGGCAGCAGCAGCGGGTTCGGCTGGGAGGAGTCGGCCGGATTGGCCTGGGCCAGCACGTTGCGCAATATGGGCGTGTCCCGTGTCGTGTTGAGCAGCATGCTCGAGATGGCCGAGAGCTTCTTGCGCTTGAGAGGATTCATGTCGGCAGCGGACTCGTACACCGAATTGAGCATCGCCGCTGCAGCGGCCGAGGGCGAGAGGGGCCATTGGCCAGCCTCGCCGGCAGCAGGATGCGGGGTGGTGTGCGTGGGCGTCAGCGGCGCCTCGCCAGCGGCAATGATGGGATTGATGGCACCGCCGGAGCCCGAGAAGCTCGTGTAGGGCGTCTGATAGCTGCCAAAGGGCGGCGGTGGGGGCGAGCAGCTGCTCGAGATGGCGCCACTGGGCGATATGTGTGTGGACGTTGAGATCACGGAGGAGGAGTTCAGCTGGCTGTGGTGCGCCTGGTGCTGGCCATAGTTGCTATCGGTGCCACCGGCCGCTGAGCCCGAGCCATTGAGCGGCTTACCCGATGCGCCGGATGAGCTGGAGGTGGGCGCCGAGTGCTGCGGCTGCTGGATATGATGGTGGTGGTGGTGGTGGTGGTGCTGTTGCTGCTGCTGCTGCTGCTGCTGGTGCGGCAGCTGGTGGTGGTGCTGCTGGCCAAGTGGTGCGCCTGTGCCGCTCTGGAACTGTGCGCGCTCATCGGAGACACTCGTCGCCTTGTGATTGAACTTCATCAGGTTGTCGTAGAGGCCCTTCACCTGCAGCTCCTTGGCGGTGCGCAGAATCTCTGGCTCCTGGCTCTTGGTCACCGTCGTCTCGCCAGTGTACATGTACTGGAGCAGGGCGGCGATCTCGAAGCCCTTCACGCCGGGCAATATGATGCTGCACTGATCCTGCGGCACATCCTGCAGTATGGCCTGAAAGTATGGCGAATTGGCGGCCAGGACAACGCGATGCGCCTTGAACTGTTCATCGTCCACGACCAGGGTGCAGTCCACATAGCTGCCCACCTCGTGTAGGGCGTGCAGGATCTGGACCAGATTCGTCTGATGATTGTTCCAGCGCAAACAGTACGTTTGACCCTCGCTGCTGGCCACGGGCGTCGGCCCACCCATCTCGCTCTGGCTGTGGTTCTCTCTGTGGCTGTGACTGTGACTGTGGCTGTGACTGTGACTGTGACTGTGACCGTGACTGTGACTGTGTCGGCGATGCCGTTGATGACGATGCGCTGGGCTTAGCGGTTCCGGCTCCTCGTCCGGAGCGGTGTCACTGCTGCTGTGGTAGGCGCTGTTCAGGCTGGTGAACGCGGCGCTCAGCAGTGTGGGGGAGTACGAGGCAAGATGCTTCCTCACCTTGAGCGCCAGCTTAAGGCTTACGTTTCACCAGTCGTCTGTTTGCATCGAATCGAGCGAGCGATGGATAGATAGAAAGAGAAAGAGAGATAGAGGGAGAGAACGAGAGAAAGAGAAAGCAATTAGTTGAATGCTAACGTATCAGATCTAAAGTCAAGAGCTTCCCAATGCCCTCTCAAAAATAATTTGCAATGCTTTTTGGAAATGCCAAAAGCCTGAAGCGAATTTCGCATGGGTTACTATAATCTAAATATGAACAAAAATACAAAATTGGCAATAGAATTGGAACTGGAAATATGGGAAATATAGGACAGGGGCACATGGGAGAACAGAGAAGTCGGAATTCAAGGAGCTAGCTGAATGTTTTCACTGAATTGCGAATAGAATCGAGTTTGGGTATGGCTGGATGTGCTATGGATATGATATTACTCATATAAGGATGGGCATAGAGAGGAAAAGGCTAGCATAGATGTGGATATGTATGTATGTATGTGTATAGATGTAGTATAAATAGGGCTAGGCATACGAATATAGATAGCAGATATAGCAGAACTATATTTATTTGCAAAGATATGAATGCGGATGTGCGGATGTCAATGCGGATGCGGATGCGGATGCGGATGTCTATGCGGATGCGGATATGATTAGTTGGATGTGAATAGCGTGAATGTGAATCAATATTCATAGAAATATTTATATGAATCCGAATGCATATATTTGGGCACGTCCATGGAATATGGAGGTCCTTTACACTAGGATATGGCTATGAATAGTTAGATAGATAGTCGATGCGACTACTAAGATAACAAATGCCTGAATACGATTGCAAATGGCCAATGCAAAGGGAATGACACACGCATATACATAGAAAAATATCCATATAGGATTATGGAATACCCCTAATGCGATTCACCGCTAAACAATCCAATCGACAAATTGGAAATGGCAATGCCAAATGATATGGAATATATATTGGAACACATGCTGAAGACTAGCTGATCCTACCTGGCAGCTGCGGCTGCCGCTGCCTCGCAGTCAGGTGTGCAAAAATAATGTGTATTTGGGGCTGATTACGCCCACCTGCCAGCGCTCGCGCTCCAGCTTACGAATTTCCTCAGCCATTTCATTGCAAAAGTTGGGCTTTTTTTGGCGGAAAATCTTCGCTTTTTTTTATATATATATATAAATTTTTTTTTCTGTTTTTTAAATTTATGCCCAAACGCCACCCTGTCAAGTTTTATGCGCCATAAAAAAGTGAAAGCGCCTTTGCCAATGGAAACGATGGGAAGAGAATATTAAGAAGGATGGCCAGGGGTGGGCGGAGGAAGCCGGGTGGCCGGAGTGGGAGGGTGGCAGAAAATACGCGGATAACAGCGAACAAAAAAAAAAATAAAAATGGGGGAAAAATATGCAAACATCCCTCTGAAAAAAGCGAAAAACGTGTGCGCGTATTTTTCCGGCTGCTTTTCGCGCGTTTTACTTTACATATTTTGTTGTTGCTGCTGTTGCTTTTTTTTTTTTTATTTTTTGACTGGAAAGTGGAAAGCGTCACACACACACGCATATGAAAACAAAAAACGTAAATGAAAAAAAAACTTGCAATAATTTGCTTTACGGAGTTTTCATTCATTTCAGTTTTGTATTCCGTTTCTATGTATATGAATATTCTTTTCCTGTTTAACTTAGAGCAAAAGAGCGAGGGTGTGCGTGTGAGTGTGTGTGTGTGTGTGCGTGTGTGTTTCGCTGTTCTTCTAGGGGCACTGCAGCCGCGAAGTGGTTGCTCGTATTTCAATTTGAAACTCGTTAAAATTTGGGTTTTCCTTCTTTTGTTTTTTTGGCATGGGCCAAGGCGCTCAAGTGTTTGCCATATGTTGGACGCTCGAGGATGACCAGAGAGGGAGTGTGTGTGTGTGTGTGCGGCATATGTTGGACATGCGTGCGTATTGGCCATGTGTTGCCAATAGGCGAAACGGACCGTTGAAGGAGTTTCGTGGAACAACAGGTAAACGGAAAAAGAAAACTCAAACTCTGCTGCCTTGGCTCCACTTGCAGGCGATCGCAAATGTGACGCAGTTTGATGTGTATAAAAAATTGGCCAGGATAATGCCAAAAAGAAAATAGAAGGAACAAAACATTCAAATGTCGACAGCCGCACAATGGGAAAACAATCAACCGGCATTGTCTGTGCGGAAAATGCGCAAGACGTTGGCCTTTTGTCTGAGATCCCATTGTGCCGTCGAGCCAAAGCGGATAATGCGGTAAGAATCGAGCAACCTGCCAAGTGATCCCTAGCCATTGCCATGAGAGTGTGTGCGAGAGAGAGGGAGAGAGGGAGGGAGACAGAGCTAAACGCTATGCAGGTAGCGGCGCTGCGCAGAAATTCGTTCGTTAATGCTCAACGCATTAACGCCTCGCTGTCTTATACGGCAAAAGTCTTATACGACGCGCTGGCGATCGGCGCAGCTTTTTGGCGAGCTTTCAATAACAGCGCATTAACAGCGGGCGCCATTTTGTTCGAAATGTTGATAAGCAAACGTCATTGAAACGAAATGCACTTGGAAACCGGTTCTCGGATTTTCCAGTTTATTTATGTTGCTTTATTTTTTATTTGACGGCCCTTTGGTATTTTTGTATTTTTTACACGTACCCAAAATAAAAACAACTTTTAATTGCGAAATTGTGCGTAGCGCCAAGATGTTTACGTTAAATACAAAAAAAATAAGGAAGCAAACATATTTTTTAAAAACTTATTTAATATTTGTTTATAGACTAAAATCTTACCACAAAAATTGTTGCAATTGGCAATTGAAGCGAGGCTCAATTGCAAAATGTCACTTTTGAATGAATTATTGAACAAGTTTTTGTTTTTGCTTTTCCATGCAATTTGAGTTCCTTTTGCCTTGTTTTATTATTCGTCACATTCAATAAGAAAATTTTGTGAATTTTCGCTAGATTTTCGTTTGAAGTTCGTTAATTAATAATTGCAATAAATTTTGTATTTTTCTTTTTTTTTTGTTTTTTAGCGATTCACACACGCACACAGAGCCACTGAATAACAAATCCCAAAAATGCTGTTTGCAGTTTATCCAATTGTTGCTATTTTTAAATTTTCATTTAAAAATATTTTGTTGTATATATTTTTTTTTAGATTTTGTTTGGAGTGCCCAAAGAACTGCGACACGTACGAATTTTGCGTTTTTTTGTTGTTGTGTTTTTTTTTTTTAAATTTTGTTGAATTTTGCGTGGCACGTTGTTGCAGATTCGAGCGCTCAAACTTGAATAAAACTGCCACGGCGCTCGTATGCAGCAAGTCATTGAAAACAAAATTTCCCGAGCGAGACAGCGCGCACATTTTCAAACACACACACACACACACACACACACACTTTCATAGAGAGACACACACATAGAGCACAGCAGAAATATGCCTCTCACACACGCACGCACTTCCCCTGCACACATATAACACTCGCCAAGGAAAAGCCACAAAACTGTGCTACGGCTCGTCACAACCCTCTTGCTGTCTCGCTCACTTGTATGACAGCGCAGTCGACGTTGCGACGCGTCGCTGTCGGCGTTGCAGTCTGCAGTCGTTTTGTGCGTTTTTGCGCTGCGCTCGCCGCGTGGCTGGCTGGCGTGGCTGGCTGTGTGTGTGTGCGTGTGTATGTGTGGGTGAGACTTGCATATGGCGGCTGCTTCTGCTGCTGCTGCTGCTGCTGCTGCTATTGGCACCCAAGAGAGTAACCTGTCCCTGTGCATGTGTGCGTGTGTGTGTGCTGAGGCTTCTATGCGTGTGTGTGTGTGTGTATGTTTGTGTTTTTTTGGCGTATGTGTAAAAATAAAAAGTGTGGCGGCTGCATTTTTTTCGTTTTTTTGTTAAACTGGCCAAAGTTGTCCAACTGGCTGCAGGTTGGACGCATGTGTGTGTGCGTATGCCTGTATGTGTGTGTGAGTTTGTGCGCTGGCAGCATAAACTGGTTAGCCTTACTCTGCTCAACGAATGAGAAACCCTTTTTTATGATACTATTTCTCGTCTCTTGCCTTAGCTTCACTTAATTTTTTGAATTTCAACTAATTATGCAAGCCATAAAATGCCAATCTGCTAAGCGCATAAAACGTTTAGTAGGTAGACGAACAAAATCAAGAACAAGGAGATGAACGAGATGAAGCAGAAGAAGCAACGGACATTTCAAAATTGAAGTAGGACAATTTATTTGGCATTTCGCTCAAGTTATGCAAATTGAGTTTAGAAACCTTAAGAACTGGCAGTCGACCTTCAGCAATCAATAGCCCTTTGAATGCGATGCAATTGATGCACTTTTTGTTGTTGCTGCTGTTGTTGTTGTTGCATAGAAAGGGTAGCTGGAAATTTGCATATGATTTGGTTGATTTCATTTATTTTAATTCATTTTGTACATTCATATGCAAATTAGTTGGCCTTGTAACGGTTAACAGTACATATGACGTCACAATTGTCAGCTGTAACTAGTCTAAAGTGAAGCTGCTGCTGAGTTTAATTAAATAAAAGTGCACATATGCATGCATGTGTGTGTGTGCGTGTGTGTGTGTGTGCATTGGAATTGCAGCAGCTATAGCGCGCTGCGATTCGCTGATGCGCTCTCACACACACACACACACATACACTTATTCAGCATCCGCAACAGTCGCGCATGTGCAACTGTTGTGCTCTCGCTCGCACACACGTGGCTGGCATATGGCAAGAGTTTTCGATTTGTTTTTAGTTGGAGTCTTTTTGCGGCATTTCTTGTACACAGCTCGGTTTAATTACATAATTATGCTCATTATTGGAGTCGCTCGCTGTTGTTAATGCTAGAATGCTGTACCTGCCGCTAGTTGGCAATTGGCCTGGCTTGTTGCACATTGTGCATCATTAATTTCTCCAACTGCTCATCCTCCTGCTGCTCCTCCTCCTCCTGGCGCTGCTTTTGTGGTCGCTGCTTTTTGTTGTTTGTTTTGTTTTTGTTTTTTTTTTTTTTATACTCGGCTGATTCATTAATCATGGCCGGGAAATTAAGGT